GAAAAAAAAAAAAAAAAAAAAAAGAGTAGAAGATGACTGGTTTTGTAGAAAACTGTAGCAAATACACAGTAAGAATATTTATCTCTGCATGACAAGTGCAGAAGAGGATTGTAAGAGGTAACCCTGCTCCTTCTATCTGCTTGCAATACAGCTGGTCAGATAAACAATAAAAAAAGACAGAGATGAAATCCTAGAGCAGGTGGCCAAAATAGAGAAATAAGTATAACACACATTCACTTGTGAATAAGAGCCTCACTATCCATCCGTGTTGGATTCATTCACATCAGGTGATCTTTAATAGTGTGGCATCTTCTAGGCTTTCAAGGATCAAGAAGGAAACCCAGAAGTTAAAAAGACATATTTTACCATTTGACATGTGAAGACTTTTCTACACAAATGATTTGGAAGACAGATTTGAAAGACAAGGCAGACAGAAGACTCATTTCTGAAATGCACAAAGACTCTCACGAACTGATTAGCAGGAAGCCAAGAGCCCAAAAGAAAAAAGGTCAAAGAAAGGGGATAGTTTACGAATAGTAACCTACATGACAACTGTACAAATTAAAGCAACTACCCCAAATCACTTTATATATAGGTTGGAAATGGCTAAAAGTAAGATTTGCTCCAGACAGAAACTAGAAAAATACATACTGATGATATATGAATTGTTAAGTGTTTTTGTAAAGTGAGCCAGTAACATTTTCTGAAGTTAAAACACACCTTCTTTCTTTTTTGCGGGGGGGGGTGATACTGGGGATTGAACTCAGGACCCTGTGCTTGCCAGGCAGACAAAATGCCACTGAGCTAAATTCCTGGCCCCAACACCTTCTTTCTTCTAGCTAGGATTCTGTCCCCCTAGAAGTAGCACCAACATAGAAGGATATAGGTCCAAGGATGTTTCTGGCAGCATCATCAACATTTGGGGACAAATTAAATGCCCATCTGGAAGGAAAATGTAATTTAAGCAACTATTAAGAAGAATGAATTAGAAGTCAAGGCCAGGCTAGGATGAGAAGGTATACTGTAACTGGCAATGCAAAATAGAGCTTTAAAAGCCAAGTTTTTTCCTCCAGAGCTAAGCAATTTCTCCAGCTTCTTCCTGCTGAGCACATAACCAGCATTGGGACCCCACAGCCTAAAGAGGTGACAGAGATGCAGAGGCCTCTGGAGGCCGAAGCCCAGGCTCCCTTCCATGGAAAGAGGGGTGAGTCAAAATGGCTGGATGCAGTAACGCCAAGAGTGAAGATCTGCACGGTCTCCTGCGCTCCCTTCCTCTGTTCCGTAAAACAAAGGGTCCTTAACTGCTGGCACACAAGATGGCCATCTGAGGCAAACAGGCCCTCTATCAACTTGGGGGATCTGAATAAATCATGTTTTTTTTAGCCAAGTATACGGCCTCTGTTGCTGAGCCCAGTAACATAACTACTACTGGAGTTTGGACCCTAGGACAAGCTAGGCAAAGGAGACCTGGAAAGAACAGCACAAAGTGAAACACTAACTGCCTCCATCCCCTGTCACAGATACACAGCATCCCCAGGTACACATTTAGGGATGTGCAGGCCTGGAACGATGATGTAAATCAAAATGTCTGTGCGCAATCTCTTAGATAAATCCTAAATCCTTACTCAAGACTTACACTGTAGCATCTTTAGAAGAACATTAGGAGGAGAGTGTAATCAAACATGTCTGTCAATAGTAAAAACTGTCAAGATTGCCTTGTGTACAGTTCTATGAAAACAAGGCTTCATGTGGGTCTTGTTAAAATGTAAAACCAAAACAGGGGCTACATCTAATACACTTTTAGTGAAATAACTCACTGCTTTGCTTAATGAAGAACACTTTAGTTATCTATCTCTATGAATGCAAACATCTGTTGCTGTTTTTGAAGACTGAATATATTAAAATCAGATTAACTGAAATCACTTATATTACCTTATTGTAAAATTATTATATTATGTGCTAGACCTCCTGACCCAGACTAGTTATATTTATCATGTAACAAGTTGAATTTCTGCAACTTGTACAAGTGTTGTTCTGCTAGAGAATTTGGAAAATAGTCTCATTGTTGGCTGAAAAATTGGCCCTAAGAAAAGAATCAAATAGGTAATTGTAGTGGATTGACTAATGGGCAACTTGTAACACCCAGCTGAACTGAATCAGCATGGTCTGAGCGAGGAGGATCCACCTGAACATTATTACCGATAGCCATAAAAAGAGAACTGGAGGGGACGATCCTGGCCTGTTGATTTCCTAGGAGATACTTGCCAAAGATGGCCGTAACTCCATGCATTTCTTTTCCTGTGCAAGCACAGAGGATTCAGGACCCAGGGCACTTCTTTCCTCTGCAAAATGCAACGGACTTTGGCATCACCAAATCACAGTTGAGGGGATTAAGGTGCAAGGCAGGAGAAAAAACTTGCCCAAACACGCGGCCCATGATAAAATTAGAATTCAAACTAAGGTCCATAAAATCCTCAGCAGTAATCACTTAGTTTTCTGGGGAGTAAGTGGACGAACCACAACATCCACTCATCATTACTCCCAGAAAGTTGCACGGATCAGATGCGGGTCAAGCAGCTGAACATCGCTCCTAAAGAGCCAAAGCAGAGGGCAAAATAATTTCGACTTGGTAGACGTTAAGAGCAGGGCGGCAGCCCCCAGCCCCAAGAGGCCCTACCTAAGACCTCCTCCCCCGTCCTCTACTCAGATAGTACGGGAAGCCACCGCGCTGCCCGCGTAGTCCCTCGGGGTCGCGGGACGTGGAGGAGGGGCGCCTGCACCCTCGGCTCACCTG